ATCTGTGTTTTCTGTGAAACCCAGAACGTAGAAGTCTGTTGCAATTTCCTGGTTATCATTCTGTTATTCAATACCGCGGAAATACTAGCAGGGCCCGGAATCTTCTAATCAAATATTGGGGACAACGCTCGAGGTTGCTACTATAGGAAGCCGCTAGTGTCCCGGGTGCAGCTGCGGTTAGGCTCGCTCAACTTTCCCACTTACATAATGGCTATTTGTGAGAAATACGAAGAAGTGTTCTTCTAAATTGTACAATTATTCATAATCTCGTACTTGTTAAGAACCTCTGAAGAAAGCGCGAACGTATGACGTTATCTTTGTAACATTATGATCTGCTAGGCGACCCGTCGAACTCACCCCCCCCCCGCCCTCCTCCCCCCCCCCCCCCCCGCCCCCCCCCCCCCCCCCCCCCCCCCCCCCCCCCCCCCCCCCCCCCCCCCCCCCCCCCCCCCCCCCCCCCCCCCCCCCCCCCCCCCCCCCGCCCCGCACAGTGCAGCACGTTTAATATATCGTTGGCAGCAGTTCTGTTTTAGTTCCTGTAAAGAAGGTGATGCAGGCAGAGGCGCGCCAGCCGTGAATGGTTTTCCACCACGTTTATATGGGAAGTTATAGGGCCCTGATACTGAGATTGAGATACAAAGCCAAAGCAAATTACGCGATGTCTGGTAAGTGGTGCTGTTACCGCTCATTAATATAGTTTTCTAAAATGGCGTATAGGGTGCGTGTATTTGCAATAGATTCATACTACAAGTAAGTTTATAAAACGTGAGGTAAGTTTAATTAATAATAATTTTTTTATTTACCTTTCGGAAAATTGTTGTTATTATGTTTGTTCGCGTTTCAACTCATATGGAGGAAATTAATGTGAAATGAGTTGTATTCTGTTCTGTCGTCTACGATTCAATCTGACAATGGGATGTCGTGTCTGAAGATCCAACAAAGTTTCCCTGTTATATCTTGCATCTGGCGATTAGCATGTTTATGTAAGTATGAAAATGATA